TTCTTTATGCCTTTACTAACCACGAGACGGACAAGAGAACGAGCGCTAGGTACCGAGTTCGACTTCGGGGACAGTTTCGGGGTCGTTGCAGCTTTGTCTGCATTAGCAAAATTAAAAAGCAAGGTCTCACCGAGATTTGACACTCGGATCTCATGGATTCAGAGTGCCTAGAGTGCTAGCCATGTACACCATGAGACCGCACTTTCCCACAAGCCGGGAATCGAACCCGGGCCTCTGGGTGAAAGCCTAAAATGCCTAGCCACTAGACCACTGCCAGGAGATGGCGACAGAGGGACTGAGCGCTAGTACCGAGTCGTCTGTCGCGGACGAGTTCAGTCCGTTGACAGCTTTGTTGCATTAGCAAAACATAAAAGCAGGTCCTCAACCTGAGGATTTGAACTCGGATTCCGTGGATTCAGAGTCCAGAGTGCTAACCATTTACACCATGAGACCGCACTTTCCAACCAGGCCGAGAATCGAAACCCGGGCCTTCTTTGTGAAAGCCAGATACCTAGCCATAGACCACGCCGGAGATGGCGACAAGAGAACGAGCGCTAGTACCGGTGTCTGTTCGCGGACAGTTTCGCCGTTGCCAGCTTTTGTTGCATTAGCAAAAATAAAAAGCAAGGTCTCACCGAGATTTGAACTCGGTTCCCTGGATTCAGAGTCCAGAGTGCTAGCTGTTACACCATGAGACCGCACTTTCCAACACCGGGAATGAAACCCGGGCCTTCTTGGTGAAAGCCAGATATCCTAGCCACTAGACCACGCCGGAGATGGCTCGAGGGAGCGAGCATCGGTACCGCGGTCTATTCGCTGACAGTTTCGTCGTTGCCAGCTTTTGCTGCATTAGCAAAAATAAAAAGCAAGGTCTCACCGAGATTTGAACTCGGATCGCTGGATTCAGAGTCCAGAGTGCTAACCGTTACACCATGAGACCGCACTTTCCGACGCCGGGAATCGAACCCGGGCCTTCTGGGTGAAAGCCAGATATCCTAGCCACTAGACCATGCCAGAGATGGCGCCAAGGGAATGAGCGCTAGTACCGGTGTCTGTTCGCGGACAGTTTCGTCGTTGCCAGCTTTCGCTGCATTAGCAAAAATAAAAAGCAAGGTCTCACCGAGATTTGAACTCAGATCGCTGGATGCAGAGTGCAGAGTGCTAACCATTACACCCACCATGAGACCGCACTTTCCGACGCCGGGAATCGAACCCGGGCCTTCTGGGTGAAAGCCAGATATCCTAGCCACTAGACCACGCCGGAGATGGCTCAAGGCAGCGAGCATCGGTACCGCGGTCTATTCGCTGACAGTTTCGTCGTTGCCAGCTTTTGCTGCATTAGCAAAAATAAAAAGCAAGGTCTCACCGAGATTTGAACTCGGATCGCTGGATTCAGAGTCCAGAGTGCTAACCATTACAACATCAGATGAGACCGCACTTTCCGACGCCGAGAATCGAAGCCGGGCCTTCTTAGTGAAAGCCAGATATCCTAGCCACTAGACCATGCCAGAGATGGCGCCGAGGGAAGGAGCATCGAGTACCGGTGTCTATTTCGCTGGCCAGGTTCGCTCGTTGCCCAGCTTTGCTGCATTAGCAAAAATAAAAAGCAAAGGTCTCACCAAGAGTTGAACTCAGATCGCTGGATTCCAGAGCCGAGTGCTAACCAGTTACACCATGAGACCGCACTTTCCGACGCCGAGGAATCGAACCCTGGCCTTCTTTGTGAAAGCCAGATATCCTTAGCCACTAGACCACGCCGGAGAAGGCTCAGAGGCAGCGAGTATCGGACCGCCGGTCTATTCGTTGACAGTTTCGTCCGTTGCCCGCTCTTGCTCATTAGCAAAATTAAAAAGCAAGGATCTCACCAAGAGTTGAACTCGGATGCGCTGGATTCAGAGTCCAGGAGTGCAACCAGGGTTCAACCGTAACCATGAAGCCCGCACCTTTCCGACGCCGGGAATCGAACCCGGGCCCTTCTAGGGTGAAAGCCAGATATCCTAACCACTAGATCCACGCCGGCGGAATGGCCAAGAGAACGAGCGCTAGTACCGGTGTCTGTTCGCGGACAGTTTCGTCGTTGCCAGCTTTTGCTGCATTAGCAAAAATAAAAAGCAAGGTCTCACCGAGATTTGAACTCAGATCGCTGGATTCAAAGTCCAGAGTGCTAACCGTTACACCATGAGACCGCACTTTCCGACGCCGGGAATCGAACCCGGGCCTTCTGGGTGAAAGCCAGATATTGTAGCCACTAGACCACGCCGGATATGGCGACAAGAGAACGAGCGCTGGTACCGGTGTCTTTTCGCACACAGTTTCGCCGTTGCCAGCTTTTGTTGCATTAGCAAAAATAAAAAGCAAGGTCTCACCGAGATTTGAACTCGGTTCCCTGGATTCAGAGTCCAGAGTGCTAGCTGTTACACCATGAGACCGCACTTTCCAACACCGGGAATGAAACCCGGGCCTTCTTGGTGAAAGCCAGATATCCTAGCCACTAGACCACGCCGGAGATGGCTCAAGGCAGCGAGCATCGGTACCGCGGTCTATTCGTGGACAGTTTCGTCGTTGCCAGCTTTCGCTGCATTAGCAAAAATAAAAAGCAAGGTCTCACCGAGATTTGAACCCGAATCGCTGTATTTAGACTCCAGAGTGCTAACCATTACACCATGAGACCGCACTTTCCGACGCCGGGAATCGAACCCGGGCCTTCTGGGTGAAAGCCAGATATCCTAGCCACTAGACCACGCCGGAGATGGCGACAAGAGAACGAGCGCTGGTACCGGTGTCTATTCGCGCACAGTTTCGCCGTTGCCAGCTTTTGTTGCATTAGCAAAAATAAAAAGCAAGGTCTCACCGAGATTTGAACTCGGTTCCCTGGATTCAGAGTCCAGAGTGCTAGCTGTTACACCATGAGACCGCACTTTCCAACACCGGGAATGAAACCCGGGCCTTCTTGGTGAAAGCCAGATATCCTAGCCACTAGACCATGCCAGAGATGGCGCCAAGGGAATGAGCGCTAGTACCGGTGTCTGTTCGCGGACAGTTTCGTCGTTGCCAGCTTTGCTGCATTAGCAAAAATAAAAAGCAAGGTCTCACCGAGATTTGAACTCAGATCGCTGGATTCAAAGTCCAGAGTGCTAACCATTACACCATGAGACCGCACTTTCCGACGCCGAGAATCGAACCCGGGCCTTCTTTGTGAAAGCCAGATATCCTAGCCACTAGACCACGCCGGAGATGGCTCAAGGCAGCGAGCATCGGTACCGCGGTCTATTCGCTGACAGTTTCGTCGTTGCCAGCTTTTGCTGCATTAGCAAAAATAAAAAGCAAGGTCTCACCGAGATTTGAACTCGGATCGCTGGATTCAGAGTCCAGAGTGCTAACCGTTACACCATGAGACCGCACTTTCCAACACCGGGAATGAAACCCGGGCCTTCTTTGTGAAAGCCAGATATCCTAGCCACTAGACCACGCCGGAGATGGCTCAAGGCAGCGAGCATCGGTACCGCGGTCTATTCGTTGACAGTTTCGTCGTTGCCAGCTTTTGCTGCATTAGCAAAAATAAAAAGCAAGGTCTCACCGAGATTTGAACCCGAATCGCTGTATTTAGACTCCAGAGTGCTAACCGTTACACCATGAGACCGCACTTTCCGACGCCGGGAATCGAACCCGGGCCTTCTGGGTGAAAGCCAGATATCCTAGCCACTAGACCACGCCGGAGATGGCGACAAGAGAACGAGCGCTAGTACCGGTGTCTATTCGCGCACAGTTTCGCCGTTGCCAGCTTTTGCTGCATTAGGAAAAATAAAAAGCAAGGTCTCACCGAGATTTGAACTCGGATCGCTGGATTCAGAGTCCAGAGTGCTAACCGTTACACCATGAGACCGCACTTTCCGACGCCGAGAATCGAACCCGGGCCTTCTTTGTGAAAGCCAGATATCCTAGCCACTAGACCACGCCGGAGATGGCTCAAGGCAGCGAGCATCGGTACCGCGGTCTATTCGTTGACAGTTTCGTCGTTGCCAGCTTTTGCTGCATTAGCAAAAATAAAAAGCAAGGTCTCACCGAGATTTGAACTTGGATCGCTGGATTCAGAGTCCAGAGTGCTAACCATTACACCATGAGACCACACTTTCCGACGCCGGGAATCGAACCCGGGCCTTCTTGGTGAAAGCCAGATATCCTAGCCACTAGACCACGCCGGAGATGGCTCAAGGCAGCGAGCATCGGTACCGCGGTCTATTCGTTGACAGTTTCGTCGTTGCCAGCTTTTGCTGCATTAGCAAAAATAAAAAGCAAGGTCTCACCGAGATTTGAACTCAGATCGCTGGATTCAAAGTCCAGAGTGCTAACCATTACACCATGAGACCGCACTTTCCGACGCCGAGAATCGAACCCGGGCCTTCTGGGTGAAAGCCAGATATCCTAGCCACTAGACCACGCCGGAGATGGCTCGAGGGAGCGAGCATCGGTACCGCGGTCTATTCGTGGACAGCGTCGTCGTTGCCAGCTTTTGCTGCATTAGGAAAAATAAAAAGCAAGGTCTCACCGAGATTTGAACCCGAATCGCTGTATTTAGACTCCAGAGTCTAACCGTTAATCCATGAGACCGCACTTTCCGACGCGGGGAACAAAACCAGGGCCTTCTGGGTGAAAGCCAGAAATTCTAACCACTAGACCACGCCGGAGATGGCGACAAGAGAACGAGCGCTAGTACCGGTGTCTATCCGCGCAAAGTTTCGCCGTTGCCAGCTTTTGTTGCATTAGCAAAAATAAAAAGCAAGGTCTCACCGAGATTTGAACTCGGTTCCCTGGATTCAGAGTCCAGAGTGCTAGCTGTTACACCATGAGACCGCACTTTCCAACACCGGGAATGAAACCCGGGCCTTCTTGGTGAAAGCCAGATATCCTAGCAACTAGACAATGCAAGATGGCGCCAAAGGAATGAGCGCTAGTACCGGCGTCTGTTCCCGGACAGTTTCGTCGTTGCCAGCTTTGCTGCATTAGCAAAAATGAAAAGCAAGGTCTCACCGAGATTTGAACTCAGATCGCTGGATTCAAAGTCCAGAGTGCTAACCATTACACCATGAGACCGCACTTTCCAACACCGGGAATGAAACCCGGGCCTTCTTTGTGAAAGCCAGATATCCTAGCCACTAGACCACGCCGGAGATGGCTCAAGGCAGCGAGCATCGGTACCGCGGTCTATTCGTTGACAGTTTCGTCGTTGCCAGCTTTCGCTGCATTAGCAAAAATAAAAAGCAAGGTCTCACCGAGATTTGAACTCAGATCGCTGGATTCAAAGTCCAGAGTGCTAACCGTTACACCATGAGACCGCACTTTCCGACGCCGAGAATCGAACCCGGGCCTTCTTTGTGAAAGCCAGATATCCTAGCCACTAGACCACGCCGGAGATGGCGACAAGAAAACGAGCGCTGGTACTGGTGTCTATTCGCGGACAGCGTCGTCGTTGCCAGCTTTTGCTGCATTAGCAAAAATAAAAAGCAAGGTCTCACCAAGATTTGAACTCGGATCGCTGGATTCAGAGTCCAGAGTGCTAACCATTACACCATGAGACCGCACTTTCCGACGCCGGGAATGAAACCCGGGCCTTCTTGGTGAAAGCCAGATATCCTAGCCACTAGACAATGCAAGATGGCGCCAAGGGAATGAGCGCTAGTACCGGTGTCTGTTCGCGGACAGTTTCGTCGTTGCCAGCTTTTGCTGCATTAGCAAAAATAAAAAGCAAGGTCTCACCGAGATTTGAACTCAGATCGCTGGATTCAAAGTCCAGAGTGCTAACCATTACACCATGAGACCGCACTTTCCGACGCCGAGAATCGAACCCGGGCCTTCTGGGTGAAAGCCAGATATCCTAGCCACTAGACCACGCCGGAGATGGCGACAAGAGAACGAGCGCTAGTACCGGTGTCTATTCGTGGACAGTTTCGTCGTTGCCAGCTTTCGCTGCATTAGCAAAAATAAAAAGCAAGGTCTCACCGAGATTTGAACTCAGATCGCTGGATGCAGAGTGCAGAGTGCTAACCATTACACCTCAAGGCAGCGAGCATCGGTACCGCGGTCTATTCGTGGACAGCGTCGTCGTTGCCAGCTTTTGCTGCATTAGGAAAAATAAAAAGCAAGGTCTCACCGAGATTTGAACCCGAATCGCTGTATTTAGACTCCAGAGTGCTAACCGTTAATCCATGAGACCGCACTTTCCGACGCCGGGAATCGAACCCGGGCCTTCTGGGTGAAAGCCAGATATCCTAGCCACTAGACCACGCCGGAGATGGCGACAAGAGAACGAGCGCTAGTACCGGTGTCTGTTCGCGGACAGTTTCGTCATTGCCAGCTTTTGCTGCATTAGCAAAAATAAAAAGCAAGGTCTCACCGAGATTTGAACTCAGATCGCTGGATTCAAAGTCCAGAGTGCTAACCGTTACACCATGAGACCGCACTTTCCGACGCCGGGAATGAAACCCGGGCCTTCTTGGTGAAAGCCAGATATCCTAGCCACTAGACCATGCCGGAGATGGCGACAAGAAAACGAGCGCTGGTACCGATGTCTATTCGCGGACAGCGTCGTCGTTGCCAGCTTTTGCTGCATTAGCAAAAATAAAAAGCAAGGTCTCACCAAGATTTGAACTCGGATCGCTGGATTCAAAGTCCAGAGTGCTAACCATTACACCATGAGACCGCACTTTCCGACGCCGGGAATCGAACCCGGGCCTTCTGGGTGAAAGCCAGATATCCTAGCCACTAGACCACGCCGGAGATGGCGACAAGAGAACGAGCGCTAGTACCGGTGTCTATTCGCGCACAGTTTCGCCGTTGCCAGCTTTTGTTGCATTAGCAAAAATAAAAAGCAAGGTCTCACCGAGATTTGAACTCGGTTCCCTGGATTCAGAGTCCAGAGTGCTAACCATTACACCATGAGACCGCACTTTCCGACGCCGAGAATCGAACCCGGGCCTTCTTTGTGAAAGCCAGATATCCTAGCCACTAGACCACGCCGGAGAT